ACCCCAAACTTCCTCACGCCTCTCTCTGCCCCCATCTCCCTCGTATCTCTCCCCCTCTCGTTGCTCCTCTGCCTCCGTCTCTCTCATCCTCCTTTCTGTTCTCCCACCCCAATCTCAGTCGAAGCAAACCACCGCTTCCCAGTGGCGACAACGACGGCATGCTTCCCAGCTCCACCAACGGTCAGGTATCTATCTCCTATTCCTAAAACCCTATCCATTAGCCGATGGTTTCTCTCTCCAAAACCTTTCAACCGATATTCTTTCGGTTATTATGGGTGAAATCAAGCCCATGATTTCCAACTGATATTCTTTTGGTTATTACCGGATTTCCAAGAGAAGGCCAAGGCCACTGCCACAACACCGGCGTCGCTCTGAGGTAGTTTTCTTTCTCCCCTCCCATTCTTTCTCTCATCTTCTCTGCGCACAAACCACCCCAAACCCTCTGTATTTTCACCCATCCACACCATTTTCTCATACTCTCACCCATATCTTTCCTCCCCCTCTCTAGCTTCCCTCTCCGTTCTCCGGCTGTTTCTCCGAAACCTCTCGCAGCACACTCCGAAACCCCTTACATCTCTGTCAACACACCCACATCCTCACAGCACAAACACACACCAACTACCATAGACCCACCAAAACCACAGCCATCACCATCACCACCACACCCGCTTCCTCATCTGCCTCCACCTCTTCATATAATCAACACCCACCACTTGTTTGATGGTTTGCTTCAAAGAAAATGCATTATCTGATGGTTTGCATCTACTAATTTCTGTGTTCAATCTCATTCTAGTCACCTCAATTTCTAATTATGTGTTAGTCCTATAGTGATTTTAGTTTTTACACATGCAATATTCTTAAAGATTATAAACCTACATATCTGCGACATTGATTTTTTTTTAATACATATTTTCAGGTTATGAATGTAAGAAGGAGGTTTAAAGGTGGTTATTTTAATATGCTTATTTGTTGTTTCAGCTGGTAAAGGTAAAAATTTATTAATGCAATATTGAGAAATATTGTAAAGTTCTGTCTGTATGTGTGGGTATGTGTATGCATTGGTCTTTTGTGCCTACTACTTTTCTTGGTAGAATAGAGGAGAAAAGTTTGGGATTTGCCACTCCTACTCTCCTTTTCTAGCTGCATCTAATTTGTCTTAGTTTTGTTTCTAATTTTATTTATTTAGTGTGATTATTTAATGTTGAATCAATGAGATGGAACTACTGGATCTCACGTATCATTTTCTGGGTTTGGCTTAATTATACTAAAATTGCAATGGAAAAAATCAATTCTAGATTGTGAATTTGTGATAAATTTACTTGGTCAATATTGTACTAGCATGGCTTATGGTCCTCTTCTCTTCAATTGAAGTGTATACATCTATCACTAGTTCATTCTTCTTAGTATGTTCAACTACTCAAATATGCTAGGTTGGATTTATTCTTGATCATCGGAGGTGGTGCTAGGTAGTGGTTGTTTTGAAAAAAGTGTGACTTGGTCGGATTTGGTGATGATTAGTGGTTTGGTCGAATGGGTTTCTTTGGTGCTTGAAATTGAAATTTCTTTGGTGCTTGATTAGTTGTTAAATTTGATATTAAGTTGATTTAATGGGTTTTTAGGCTTTCGTCTGTGAAAGCAAGATTAGGTTTTTATATATGGTATTGAAGTTGCATTTTACATTTTGAATTATTGCATTTGAGATTTTTTAATTGATTCCTTTTTTTTAATTAGCGTGTACACAAACATTCACCGGCAAAACACTCGTGCACATTGACTTTGCAATTCACTAAATAGCAACACTTATATATACTTGCACTCACCCATTAGTGCAGTGCTCACAAACAATTCATGCAACACTTGTATGTGTGGGAAGTGTGCTTGGGGTTTTATGTAATTGATTTTTGTTCGAGAAAAATGAAATTGATTTTTGTTCCTTACATTATTTTCAATGTAGGAGCTGATGTGGATGTTAATTAAATGCATGCATTTGGAATTATTTGGATTTGATATATGCTGATCTATAATTTCTCTAATGACTATTGGGTCGCCTTTACGTGGTTGAGTTAGTTGATAAATAGTGTATTAGGCATAACTGTAGCATGATAATGAGACTTTTGGTAGTCTTTTTGGATATGAAAATAAATTGGGTATATAGGTTGAAAATTTTGTAATCCCATTTTTAGGGGAATCTTTGGCCAAATTTTATGGTACGTGTGTGAAAAAATAAAAATTTTGTTTCATGAAGTTAACACTGATGAGACTTAAGGCTTAATGCATTGCAGAATTGAAGGCTTTGAAGCATAACCCACCAAAACAAATCCAAGCCTACAAATAAAACAATGACATGCCAACCACTTTAGCAACAAACCCATTATCTTGAATGTATGATTGACATATGTAGTTGAATGCTTCTTTGCCCTTCTTTTTTTTTTTTTCAACTTCATCTTGGCATTTCCNCTTTTTTTTTTTTTCAACTTCATCTTGGCATTTCCAAGAGTGGTAACTGATAGAGAGAGAGAGAGAGAGAGAGAGAGAGAGAGAGAGAGAGAGATGGGTTAACTAATGCATATTTTCACTTGAAGTGCAGGAAAAACACGTTGAGAGAGATGGGTTCACCTTGAATGGATTTGACAATACATTACCGTGTAGTTAACCCTAGAAAGTGGGCTTACATTACCATGCAATTAACCTCACAAAGTGAGCATCCATGACTCTATAAGAATCGACCATCTATATCGAATGGTGGTTTCTTCTCCAGAGTTTTTTGGTGGTCTTTTTTATGATGAATAAATCCTGGAGACGTAAAGAGTAGGTATTCCATCTAATATAGATTAGTTTGTTAGCATGACTAATTTTTCGTTTGTCGGGTAAAAGGACTGACCTAGATGTAATTGCGTAGGATGAACTAGGTAACCAAAAATCACGATTATTGGTATAAAGCTAGATGTAATTATGGTTATCATATAAAGTGGGTAGTTTAACATGGAATGTGGGATAGTGGGCTAATGTAGTAGTTGGTAAGGTGTAGGTGGCAATAGTTGATTGTATGATGCTTAATTAAATAAATGAAAATTATAACTGTTAGAGAAAAGGGGAGGGCACCTGCTGAGTGCAGTTCAGACATAAATTGATTGTTATATAAGATAATAAGATTTGTTTTTATTGGTACTAATGTTTTTCCCTTTTGAATATCATAATTTTTTAGGATAATTATTAATTTTTATTATTGTTTTATTGTATGACCTGTCCATCCAGTTGACTCAACAGTTGAACCAGTGACCCATTAACCTCGTCTCTTTGCTGAGTTGATGTCCGGGTTGGTTTATTATTATGGTTTCAACTTCACATCCACTTGTAGTTATTTCATATTCCACTGACGAATATGAAGTTGAACATGTTGAAATGTCGGAAGAAAATAATACTAAGCCAACGGCCAAAACNGTCCTCTCCCTCTGCCTCAACCACCATGGAGTCAAATAAATAACTAGCATGAATCTCACTCTGCTTCATTGACTCCTTCCCTAGAGGTTTCTATGGTGGCTTCTTCTGATTTGTATCTAACACAACAACTCTCTTGCTCAAATATATACGTGTGATCAATGCACCTAAAGGCAGACCATCTTCACTCTATCCTCATCATAAGCTATAATAAAGACCCTAAATATCAACGATGACAAACCAATATACAAACCAATCCCCAGAGCATGTAATTGGAAAGCTCCCGGTACAGGAAAGGTAGATACATGATTCTTTGGATCGATGTTCTAATTTGTAATTAAATTCAAAATCCGGTAATTCCTCGTCAACCATCAGGTTCTAACCATCAGGATGTGGAGTACCCTATAACTAGAATGCGACCTCGAAAAGCTTAGGCAACCCTGACTTAGAAGGAACAACAAAATAGGAAGAAGTATAGCATCATGCAACTCTATGAGATCTGAAGGCCATCGCTTGGATGTTCCCCTAACCTAATGGATCCAGGGTCATCCCAGTCAAAGATGGTAAGAGGAATAACATCAATAACATTCATTGTATGCATGGCTCTCAGCGATCCACATGCATCTATAACATGTTGTATTCGAGGGTTATTTGGACTGTGCTTGTTACACCACGGACAATCATCTTAGTCTTCGATTCATTACATCGATAAATGCACATTCTGCTTTATTGGGCATCTATGTGCATTTTAGACAAGCTTCTTCTCAAGCTTTTGTATTCCTAGCCATATCGGGCTAATAGTAACCTTATCTCTGCAATCATCTGAAGAGATTTATTGTTGTTGTTATCGGCAATCGAGTCAACAGAGATTTCAAATTAAGCACCACAGACATATGTAGTGATGTGCTCACTATCAACAGTCGTATTCCGAATAGGTGCATAGAATTCCCTAACAATATTTCATTTGTCAGCTTTGGGGACACGAAGAGTTTTTTTTTCTACAAAGAGTTGAGACCACCTTTTCGACTCAATTTAAAGGAATAGAGATATTCCTTACCCCAACGAAGTTCACTTTGCGTTTCATCATATTACAGGTCTAGAAAAATATTGCCTCTTATACAAGTCTCGATTATGTGGGTCTTAGAAGCGACTTCTTTCCTCGAAAACACGTACTTGAGTTCACTCTGCATTTTGCACAAGTTGCTTGAGCGGTGTGGAGGTTGCTTAAACAGTCCCTTAAGCTATCATCCACAGCGGCCAGTTTCAAAAATGCACATGAATGGGTGACATTAGGATCTATATACAATGTAATTTTTAAATTCAAATTAAATTGCATTTGAAGATGATGAAGCTGTCATTAAGATCAGTAGTGAAGTGACCAAAGGATATTGGACAAAAATGGTATAGCAAGGGAGTGGTGCTCTCTGCCCTTCCCCCATTAAAATCACACTTATTCATCAAATAACAAATTCATCTTTATTACATCAGCTACACACATTACTTTAAGGCATATGAATGAATTTAGAACTCAANCATCAGAAAGGTTTTCTGTAGATTTTGTGATGGCAGGGGCAACAGCAATAATATCGAAGAGTGCAGCTGCGCCGATTGAGAGAGTGAAGCTTTTGTTGCAGAATCAGGGAGAGTTGTTGAAGAGAGGGCATCTAATGAGGCCTTATACCGGGGTTGGTGATTGCTTTAGAAGGGTTTTGAGAGAGGAGGGTCTATTTTCCTTTTGGAGGGGTAACCAGGCCAATGTCATACGATATTTCCCAACCCAGGTAAACTCCCCCCTCCCTCTTTCTTATTTGCTTTTGTAATTTTGACATCATTTCAATTTTATACTTTTTGCTAGGTGAAAATGTAGATGTTTAATGGTTAGTTAGACATACTATCTTTCTACCTTATTTATTTATTGAAATTGAAGTTTTGATGAGAGAATTTGTATGTGCCTTCAAGCCTAAATTGGTGATTATATGGATTATAGTGATAGTAATTATTATTTTGTTGGATGTAGATTTTCTTTAGCAATTTTAATGTAAGTTTTGTTAACGAGTCAAATAAACATTTTTAAGATGTTTTTTCTATGTTGGGGTGGAGCCAGTAGTATGATCGAAAAAAATTTCACCGATTAATACAAAAACATTTCCAAGCATTATTATTAAAACAGTAAAATCAGTTTCCATTTAACTTAAACAAAATATGAACAAAAAAATCACAAAAATAACTTTTGTTTAGAAAAGTATTCGATATGTATCTATAAGTATTTGACGAGTATCGGATACGTATTAGATATGCTGGCGTCACCCCGATCTAAATATCCGTACATCATAGATGGGTTGGTTTGTTGGCCTTAGATTGGGTCTAGTTTGGAATATATATGGGGATTGAGGTCTTATTCCTTTAAGCGGTGGGTCAAGTTTACAAAAGGAGACAAGGTTGGCTTTATTAAAAATATAGGCGGGGTCCACACTTTGAAAACCCAGCAAGCAAGGTCTCTATGTATAGATGGTTTGGCCTCTGTGGAAGGAATAGATATCACAGGCTCATGTCCTCTCCCTCTGCCTCAACCACCATGGAGTCAAATAAATAACTAGCATGAATCTCACTCTGCTTCATTGACTCCTTCCCTAGAGGTTTCTATGGTGGCTTCTTCTGATTTGTATCTAACACAACAACTCTCTTGCTCAAATATATACGTGTGATCAATGCACCTAAAGGCAGACCATCTTCACTCTATCCTCATCATAAGCTATAGTAAAGACCCTAAATATCAACGATGACAAACCAATATACAAACCAATCCCCAGAGCATGTAATTGGAAAGCTCCCGGTACAGGAAAGGTAGATACATGATTCTTTGGATCGATGTTCTAATTTGTAATTAAATTCAAAATCCGGTAATTCCTCGTCAANTCATAATTACACCTCTAGATAACATGAAGCAGGTAAAGAACTCATTCAGTGTACAATTGTCATGCAATTCAGTCATTTTATCACACAGTGTCCTAATTGAATTATTATGGTATGAAACTACTATCAAACTCCTATCTCAATCTTATGTGTTCGTTTTTATTAGAACTGTTTTTTTAGTTGTCATTCTACTTTGGCTAAGGGTTCATTGAGTCATCCTAGAAGATTACCGAAGACATTTTCCCTTTTCATTAAGGATGATCAATTTTATATTGTATGCTCATAAGTCTCCTTTGCATGTCTAGCTATGCCCAATGATACATATTCAAGTTATATGGTTAAAATCTATATAATAAAACATATAGGAAGTTAAATTTTATCCCTTATATATTTTTCCTTCCCAAAACTATTACATCACAAATTTTTATCACATGTTCAATCATTTTATATATAATTAATTTATTGTTTAACATAATTTTTATTTTAGACATTATGTATATACAATAGCATACACATGTTAAAATTTTTTTTATTGAATTACGAATTTTGAAAAATTTTTGTTCATATTTATAATAAAATAATGGGTAAAAATAAATTTTGAATAATGTAATCAAATAAATAAAGAAAATAAAATTTATTATTTAATGTAGTGAGATCTATTTTTTTGAGCCTCGAATTTGATGTTCATGCCAGATACGGATTATAACTAGTATGAATATATAGTAGAGTTAAAACATAGAAATCCATACACAAGATAACTGTAGTATTTCAGATCTAAGAATAAGTTGCATAACGGTAACTTGGGATATTGATAGTTATGTAAAACTCCATATGAAATATTCCATGTTAGTCAATGGTTATGTTCAGTGTACTTGGTCTTTAACAAGTACCCATACACTTGCCAAACTTACTACATGCTAGTCTGTTCGGATTATATAGTGTCCACATAGTAATTCTGTGACTAAAAACCATTAAGAGTTAAGTACTAGGAGTATCTGTTTCTTCTTCTCAACGTTTTGAGAAACTATTTTCTTAGTTTATATTTTATGGATTTTATCCTGCATGTTAAAATGAAATAAATTAATAACATGATAAATAAACTTGTTCTTGTATTTAATTAAGTATTGAATGTTGTCACTACAACCATAATATCATATATGTGATTGATTTGAGGGCATACTACTAACACACACCACACACCACCTCTCTCCCAATGATACGCTTCCTTGTCCTCCATTGCCCACAATTCTGATGTCCCTAACCAGATTTCTTGTGGTAGAACTCACATAAAAACACACACACAGATACATTCACACAAAAGAAGCACACATACACACACTGTAGACACATTGTATCTCCCTCCCTCCGTACCTCCCCTTTCTATCAAATTTTGGACCCAAAGCTGGTGGGTGTCGCTGTCAGCATCTTTGCCGGCATGCAAGCAATGGTGGTGATGGAATTCTTGAAATGGTAAGTGAGTTTTTTAGTTCGGAAGTTGTGGATATATGCAGAGAGAGAGAGTGAGAGACCAGAGAAAATTCACCAGGTGATGCTTACGGTGGTCTTGTTCAATGCCACTATCACAACAAATTTTGATTATTTTGTATAGTGATCAACTTTCTAGCACTGGTTATAATGTTTGATGTTTCAGTTTAACTAATTCTTAGACTGATTATTCACGATTGCTGTGCTGCGTTTATCATCAATTTGTGTGTGTTGTGCCGAGTGAAGAGAGGTTGAAGATGAGTTGGTTGATTTTGGTGTAAATTTCAATCAAGGAATAAGGGATTGTTTCATCCAATTCAGGAATAAGGAGGGCTTTGGATGAGCGTAAATGAGTCATTTCTGCACCTTCCGTTAATTTGTGTTATGAGGTCAAAGCACAAGGGGTAATTCATAATTTGCCCTTGTTTTATTCACGTAGGTTAAGCTTGAACATAGACCTCCTTAAAAGTCTATATATCACATGCTCGGAACAAAAATAAGTAAAATAAAGGAAAGGACACAACAGATTTCTATAATCTGTCCTCAAGATCGGATGTATCAATTTTTTATTTTTTGGGGAAATCTGGTGCCTTTTTAAGCTATAACATTATTTATATGGTTAAAGGGATACAGTTGTGAAAGAAAAAAGGGGCTAAAGAGTTCAAAAACAGCTCCCAAAACTGGTAGGAATGAGGGATATAGATGTGAAACAGTTTTCTCTTTGATGTTAATTTTAGCAGACACTTAATCTAGCTGACAAAAAATGATGGCAGGAACAATGACATTCCAGGCAGGGGAAACACAAGAGTATTTTAATTTTGCTGTAGACAACAGTGGATCTAAGAATGATAACAGGATTGTACCACATTTATCCCTTGAATATGACCCCCCATTCCTTGTGGTCAATGATTCTTTAGAGGGACCAGGCTGTCAACCTATTAAGTTTGTAAATTGCTTTTTTATGTTGCACCTAACTGTACAGAATAATTTTTTCGCAATTTCCCTGTAGTTAATATGCATTGGATACTTTCACGTACCTTAAATTTGATTTCTGCTTCTCTTAGTATTTTAATTGCAGTTCTTCCTACACTTAGGAAATCTTTTACTTTTCTGACTTGGATGTTTAAAAATTTTTGACCACCAAAACTGATACTTGATAGCTATTATATTTAAAGTGAATGTGCTTTTTGTATTGAATAATAGAGAAAAACCTAGAATTGTGTTGTTACATTGCCTGTGTCCCGAATGAGGGGGAAGGAAGGGTGGATATCCCAGGTTGGCAACAAAATCTTTCGAGCAGGAAATATGAGAAAAAATGTCATTTGAAATTGAGCTCTGGTGCACCACAGCCAACGGCCAGCAGATGGGGGCCTTTTTGGTGTCTAGGGAGTTATGCACAACATCAGTGCATAGTTCTCTTTTTCCTGTCTTTTTTCTGCTATAAATATTCCTTTAAAAAATTCAGGTTTGGCATCAACTAATATAAATTATACTGCCTACACAAAGATACTTGTAAATTAATGATAAAGGTGATGCTGTACCTCAATTTTGTGTTTATATTTTCCGAAGTGTTTGTCTTGATGCTGCTGCCAGATGTTAGTACTGAATAAAAATTTTATGGATTCTTCACAGGCTTTCAACTTTGCATTCAAAGGGTACTTCAAGAGCCTATTTGGATGTTCAAAAGAGCGAGATGGCTATATAAAGTGGTTTGCTGGAAATGTTGCTTCAGGGAGTGCTGCTGGAGCAACCACTTCATTGTTTTTGTATCACTTAGATTATGCACGGACCCGCCTTGGCACCGATGCAAGGGAGTGCCCAATTAGTGGTAAACGGCAATTTAATGGCCTACTGGATGTATATCGTAGGACCTATTCAAGTGACGGAATCGTAGGCCTGTATCGGGGATTTGGGGTTTCGATCATGGGAATTACTCTTTACCGAGGCATGTACTTTGGGATCTATGACACCATGAAACCTATTGTTTTAGTTGGTCGTTTTCAGGTGAGCAGTTTTACCTCCAACCCTTTTGTTAGAATTTCTTCTTCTTTGACTTGACACTTATTTTTTGAGGATCAGCTACAAGCCTAAATCTACTGAAGCTTGTGTGTAGGGTGGTTTTTAGTTTTTAAAGATATCTCATACTTCAAATTACTCTTGTTTTTGCCAAGTGAGGAGCTGTTTGTTGTTTGCATACAGTTAAAGATCTAATTTCTTTGCCAATCTCTTGTGCTCCATGGTGGAGTGTTAATCAAAATTTCATATTCGCAGGACAGTTTCTTTGCTAGTTTCTTCTTGGGTTGGAGTGTGACAACAGTTTCTGGGGTCTGCGCCTATCCCTTTGACACATTGCGACGTAGAATGATGCTAACCTCTGGACAACCGTTGAAGTATCATAATGCCAGGCATGCATTCTGTGAAATAATTTGCCTTGAAGGTTTTAGCGCACTGTTTCGAGGAGTTACTGCAAACATACTTCTTGGTGTGGCAGGGGCTGGAGTACTTGCAGGATATGATCAACTTCACCGAGTTGCATATAGAGTTGGTCATACTTTTTGAGTCTGAAGGAGCTTGGAAATAAAATTCCTGCAACAAGTTTCTGCACACTGGTATATAGCTTGAAAGTCGGTACATAACCCACAAATATTCAATTATTTTTAGAAGGCAAAGAGAGGTATGACAAAATAGTTCTCCATAATTTTTCTGTAAAATAAGAATGAGCCAGAGAATAGGGAATGATGATCCATCGTGACAGCTACCTGCTTCCCTCCAAAAACTCCGAAGTTTAGCTATCCAAGGATATACTTTTGATATTAAACTGCATACTATGTACTTGTTCTTATGAGCTAAAAGGCCAGAGAGAGGTATAATTGACAATACTTCCACTTGAAGACTGCACTCACAAGGAGACCCTTGTCACAGAAGTGATGAGTCCAGTGTGTTGTATGTGGTGCCCTTTGGGTTTTCTGTGTACCAAAAACAGAACAGAAACGGAAGACGAAAATGACTCCCAAAATGAAAACATGGAAGAGGGAAATTTGAAATGCTTCTGTGTATATTATCTGTNTGTGTACCAAAAACAGCACAGAAACGGAAGAGGAAAATGACTCCCAAAATGAATACATGGAAGAGGGAAATTTGAAATGCTTCTTTGTATATTATCTGAACAGTTGATTGTGATATATCGATTTTTTTTCCAATGCCGTTGGCTGGATTATTGGTTTTATTGTGAGTTTGAAGTCGAAATTCCTAGTAGAACCATTATGCTATAGTTTGTGTAGCTTTTGTCTGGACTTGGGTGTTTGGCCAAGGGAGTAGCCACTTTCTATGCGTGTGGGAAGAAAGCAGAATAAAGCTTTTGAATAAGATTTGGATATCAAAAGTTGTTGAATGCGTATGATAGCAGTGAACTCCAATTTATGGTGGGTGGTGATCTCTCTATTGCTGGTTCGTTCAATTCTTCAATTCTGTTTTTTTTTGGGTAGCACATCTGTGATTAAAGCTATTTACAACAGGTATTCTTTGATACTTTATTGTCCAACACGGTCTGTCCTGACTTGCATATATTCTGTTTCATCTCAAGCTCCCATTCTGAACTTTTGGCACGCGGGAATGGAGAATCTACCTAACCCGAAAGGCATTATCAATCTGTCGCCTACAATCTGAAATGTGCATCCACAGGTACGGTACCTTTGTAGATGGCTGTTGTGCGTGTAAGATTCNGAATCTACCTAACCCGAAAGGCATTATCAATCTGTCGCCTCCAATCTGAAATTTGCATCCACAGGTACGGTACCTTTGTAGATGGCTGTAGTTGGTTTTTTAGCTCTGCATTCTTTAATTTATTTGCACCCATGTACGAAGGGGAAAATAAATAACTGAGAGTGACGTGTTGGGTCACATGATCGAGTAGCAAAAGCAATGTCTCTCTGTGTATGCGGGGTATGGATATGTAATTTTTGATTCTTTTCAAACAAACAAGATTCTCCTGCATCTGCATAGGGTTTTCCATTTGTTTGTAAAAGAGGCTGCATTTTCCTAGACTATCTGAGTCTTTTTTTCTTGGGAAATAATTTAATTGCATCATAAATATCCTCAAATAATTTTGAGTTACAATTTTATCCTTTGTGGAAATTCAGTGAAAAATGCACATAAATGTCACCTTAAAGGGAAACTCTATGGTATATAAAAAATTTTTCGGTACTGGTAGCACTGGTTACTACTTTAGACGGTAAAGTTATAATTTAAAAAAAAAAAAGTTACAGTTGCTCAATGTAGATCATGATTGATCATAAATATTCATGATCGATTATGAAAAATGTTATATTGATTTTAAAATTTCATGATTGATCATGCCATTTGAAGTTATAACTTACACTTTAAAAAAGTATAACTTTTGGTATTGATAATGCCGACAATTGTAGAATTTCCTTAGCTTAAAATACTTACTTTCCCATAAATGCCTTTGTTGTTTTTACTTACAATTTAGAGAAAGCCTATTTCCTCATTGTTAAGAGTATTAGGGTAGTATATGTAATTTGTTAATAGTGTTAGGGTTTTTTTTATAAATACAAGAGGGTGTGTATGTGTAATTTTTGTTATGAATTACCTATAAATACAAGTGATGTATGAGGGCTAGACTATGTTTTTGACCTATTTTTGTTTCTCTCTAATATTGTGTTAATTTTTTACACTTAACATAGTATTAGAGCATTTATGATCCTAAATATATTCTAAATAAATTAACTCTCCATTGTGATGGTTGTGGTACAGTTGCTGTGGTAGTGGTGGTACTATTGGTAAAAGTCACTGTTGTGGTGGTGTCGTTGCTATAGAGGTGGTGGTACTTTTGGTATTGTGGTGGAGTGTTGCTAGTTGTGGTGGCCTTCTCGCCGTTGTTTGGAGTTCGTTGTGGTGGTGGTGTGTCGTGGTGGTGAGGCGCAGTTGAAGGTTAGGGTTTACTGAAACCGTAATCAATGAAGAAGAAAAAGTGGTGGTGGTCTGTCGTGGTGGTGAGGCGCAGTCAAAGATTAGAGTTTACTGAAACCCTAATCAACGAAGAAGAAGAAGTCTAGGATCAAACCAGGAGCCTCGGGTCTGGATCAGATCGGGTCAAACTAGGGTCCAACCCACGGTTCAGGCCGGTTCAACAGTCCTGAAAGCCTGGTTAGTCCGGTTTAGTGGTCCAGCCCCACGGTTCAGGCCGGTTCAGCAGTTCAATGAACCCAGTCGGTCCGGTTCAGTGATCTAGCCAGTCAAATCGGCTCGGTTCAGAGGTCTAGAGGGTTCAACCTATCCGGTTCAGTGATCTAGTACTCTTTTTTGGTCCAGTTCAGTGGTTTAGTACTCTTTTCCAACCCAGTTCAGTGGTCCAACCCATATTTCTAGCCCGGTTCAGCCCTCCAGCTGGTCTAACTAGTTCGGTTTAGTGGTCCAGTACTCTTTTCTAGTCCCGGTTCAGCATTGCAACGCTTTTTCTTTGTTATTTGTTACACTATTATGGAACCCAAGCAAAATACCATGTCCCTTACTTCATCTATGCCTCCTACTCTTATCAATGGTCTCATGGCCTTTGATAAATTCAATGAGACTAATTACACTTTATGGTCTTGATCTGTTCAAGTCTTTCTTTGAGGTAAATGATTTAAGAAATATTTGGTGAATCCTAAACCTAAGGAAGACACTCTTGAGTATGATCAGTGAGAACAAGATGATGTTCAAATTATCTCTTTATTGTTAAATAGCATTGAGCCTAGTATTAGCTCTTTTTTGCTCTATCTTGATACTACCAAAGAGATATGAGATCACTTGGTCACTATGTATTCTGGTTCAGGTAATTTTACTCGTGCGTATGAGGTGTGCAAGGAGTACTTCTGGTTGGAGTAGGGTACTCTGAGTCTTGCAGATTATTACTCTCATGTTCGAGGAGTCTGTGAGGAGATGAAGACCTATCATCCTTTTACTATTGATGCAGTAGTTTGGTATAAGTAACATGAGGACCTGAATGTTGTTAGGTTTTTGGTAGGTTGAAACCTAAATATGAGGTTATTCGTTCTCAGATTTTGGGTGGTTTTAGTCTTCCATCACTGCTCGTGGTTTTCTCTCGTTTACAGCGTGCTACATTGTTTTCTCCTTCAGGCATTGATCATGGTGTCTCTATTAATCGCTCAGCTCTTGTGGTTTCTAATAGCCATAATGAAGGTCATCGAGGTGGACGTGGTGGTCGAGAAGGTCATACAGGAGGTCGTACGGGTGGTCGTGGGGGCCCTAGTAGATCCCGTTCCTGTACTCACTGTGGTCGTGGAGGACACATTGTTGACTTCTGTTGGGATTTACATGGAAAATATTATAGTGTTGCTAATCAGGCTTCTTATCAGGATGATACTTCAGTTGCTGCTTCCATACCTCAGTCAGCTCCACTAGACACTGGGTCAATTACTATTACACTAGGTTGAGAGGAGTATGCCCAGTTCTTGTCCAAGTATCAGGCTGTTCCATCTTCTTCTATTGCTATTTTTGCCTAGTCAGGTACTACTTCCACTTGTTTATTGTCCTCCACTTGCAGTCTTTGGATCATAGACTCCGGTGCTTCTTACCACATGACTGGTGCGTCTGATGTCTTTTCTACTTATCAGTCTACTATTTTTACAGGTAGTGTTACTCTTGCTAATGGTTCCTATTCTAAAGTTTCAAGTCTGGGGACTATTCACTTGAGTCATGATGTGTCCCTATCATCTTGTTATTTGTTCCTTAGTTTCTTTTTAGTTTACTTTCCATTAGTAAATTTACTCGTTCTCTAAATTGTTTTATAACTTTTTATCTCTCTTATTGTGTCTTTCAGGATCTCAAGACGAAGAGGAAGATTGGTACGGACATGAAGCCGGTGACCTATATTACTTTGATTTTGATTCACCTACTTGAGCTCTATAGACTTCGTTGTCTGCTTTTCAATGACATTGTCGCATTGGACATCACTCTCTCCAGAATTTGAAACGCCAAGTTCCCAGTTTTAGTTGTGTGTCGTCTTTGTTTTGTGAAGCTTGTCAACTTTGTAAGCATTATCGTGTGTCATTTTAGTCCAGAGTCAATAATCGTGTCTAGTCCATTTGAGTTGGTACATTCTGATGTATGGGGTCTAATAAAGAATTTTTCATCTAATAAATATCCTTATTTTGTGTCTTTTGTGGATGACTATTCTCGTGTGATTTGGTTGTTTTTGATGAAAATTCTATTTGAATTATTCTCTATATTTGAGACATTTCGTAAGGAAATAAAAACTCAGTATGATTGTCGTATCCATATTTTACGTTCTGATAATGCTCGGGAATATGAATATGATCTTTTTTTCGCTTATTTTAGTAAAACTGACATTATTCATCAGATTTTCTGTGCTTACACATCTCCACAAAACGGTGTTGTTGAACGCAAAAATTGTCATTTGTTGGAAGTCACCCATGCTTTGTTATTTCAGATGAATATTCCTTGATATTTTTGGAGTGATGCTATACTCACTGCTTGTCACTTTATTAATTGTATGTCATCCTCTGTGTTAAATGAGT